TTTGGGAGAAACTTAGTTTAAACAAGGAAGATAACAGCCCTTTCCCAAAGCTGACCTCCTTCTTGCCTGGGGACTACACTGCCCTTGTAGAACTAACAGCAGCCATAGATTAAAAATTATGGTTTAGGAGTCATGCAGCTGGAGGCTACAAGATTCTGACCCTCCCTAAACTGCTCCTAAGATCAGTGCTTGGGATGCCTTGCAGACCCCGCACTGGGTGGATCAGCTGGCTCCACCCAGATCCATAAACTAGCCCATCTGTTCTTACGGCCCCACCCAGGAACTGACTGAGCTCAAGAAGACAGCTCTGCCTCCCTCTGATCTCATCGCTGACCCATCAGCACTCCTGGGTCACTGGCTTCCCCTACCAACCAAGTTATCCTTAAAAACTCTGCTCCTCCAATGCTCGGGGAGACTGATGGAAGTAATAATAAAACTCCAGCCTCCTGCAGAGACGCCCTGAGTGAATTACTCTTTCTCTATTGCAATTCCCCTGTCTTGGTGAATCAGCTCTGTCTGGGCAGCAGGCAAAGTGAACCCCTTGGGCAGTGATATCATCGGTTGAAGTACAAACAGGCACACAGAGGTCCGCCAGGTGGGGACTGGGCAGCCGCTGCTGTCTCTCTTCCCACAGCCAATTTCCTTACTGGAGGAAACCAACCTTCACTCCACTCCACAATGGAATGAATAAACAGAGCAGGCTCTCTGTGTATTTATTATTTACAAAATCAGGCTCTGTTCACAAAACTTTTTTGTAACTTGCTATCTTTCACTTACAAAAAAATCACAGCCATCTCTCTAGGCTAATGTCTATCCTTTGAACTCATCTTTTTGAATGGCTGCATAGTATTCCTCAAAATATACTTACTATAATCTATCCAGCCAGTCCCCCAAGTTCCTTTACTAACAAGGCTTATGTTGTTTTATTTCACTACAAAAATAATTTACAAACATGATTACAGGTATTTTGTACATATTGATATTGTCACTTTACCATTAAAAAAGAAAACATTCTGGCCGGGCAAGGTGGCTCACGCCTGTAATCCCAGCACTTTGGGAGGCTGAGGCGGGCAGATCACGAGGTCAGGAAATCGAGACCATCCTGGTTAACATGGTGAAACCCTGACTCTACTAAAAACACAAAAAATTAGCCGGGCATGGTGGTGGGCACCTGTAGTCCCAGCTACTCAGGAGGCTGAGGCAGGAGAATGGAGTCAACTTAGGAGGCAAAGCTTGCAGTGAGCCGAGATCACGCCACTGCACTCCAGCCTGGGCAACAGTGCGAGACTCCGTCTCAAAAAAAAAAAAAAAAGAATCCATACCCTTTTTAGTAATGTGTGATCATGGGGTTTCTGGAAGCACTGGTCACCTTGAATTTTATTCCATCCTTGGCTTTGGTTGAGTGAAGCCATGTGTCTTGTCATTTCCCTGGCCCCCAGGGAGGCTAAGCATTCTCTCACGCCTTCCCCGTCTGCATCTCCTCTTCTGTGAAACTGTGATTCATATCCTTTCCCTGTTTTTCTTCTTTCTTTTCACGTTTTTCACATCGATTCGTAATAGCTCTCTGTACACTGCGGTGCTAACGTCTTCGCCCACCTTATCTGTTGCCAGTAGTTTCTTCCAGCTTATTGTTGATACTGTTGTTATTTTTCCGTTTTGCTGATGGTATTTTTTCCCACGTATACATAAACGTTTTCGGTAATTCAGTCATTTGAAAAGAATCCCAGTCTCCATGGCCTGTCTGTGACTTTCTCACTGAGGCTTGCATTTTGGGGTGAGTGGCCGCATCCCCCCATGGGCCCGTTCCTTCCCATGCCCTCACCAGGCTCAGCCCTGGTCTCATGCCCTACTCCCTCCTCCCAGCGAGTCCTCCTGGGGGCATCTGGCTTCCCCCCTACCCTGGCAGGCCGTGCTGCCTCCTGGTGATATTCAGAGCTGTCCGGTCCCTCCCTAATGAATGCCTGTCCCAGAGGATGTGTGGCTACAGTGCAAGTAAAAAAACAAGCTATCTCTTTTCGATAGCTACAAAACACACAAATGTAACGAAAGAGCTGCTTTTAATAAGTAACAGACAGTGTTCTGTACTGCTGACCTATAGGGCTGCTTCCCAGACTCCATCTGGTTTATATCCAGCATTTTCTGTCTCTACTTCTCCCGAATTCAGATTTTAGAGATGTGGTAAAAAAATTTTAAATCAAAAATTCAAATATGTTTTGCCATAGAAAAATATTACTAGAACTTCCCATTGTTGCAGGTATTTGAAATTATCTTAATGATTTTTCCAGTTTCCAAATTCTTTTTAATCCATTTTTAAAAATTACTCTACTTATTTTTTAGGGGGAGGAAAATACTAAAAGAATAAAGAACAGAAAACTTAGAGAATCCTGTGTCTACGAATGATAGAATGTGGACTCTGTGACATACGTTAAATATTCACGGGGGTGGAAATATGTTGTTCCACAGAAAAGTGATAGAAATGAAAATGCTCTGAAGATTATTAAATGGGAAACATGAAGTTTAGAGACAGGGCATGGGCTTGGAATAGTTTTGTTTTTGTTTTTTCCTACTTACTGTGTCTCTTTAACTTTCAGGCCTCAATTTTATCATCTGCACGAACTATGCCACAGGAATGTCTTTCCCGTGTGTTCATGTGACAGTCGGTGGATGTGAACATTCTAGCACGTGTGGAAGAACCCGGAAAATGCACAGGGCTCCACACGCGTAAGGGGGTGCTGCCACGTGCCTGGTGCGGTAGCTGTGAGTTCACCAGACTGTCATCCTCACCGTGCTCTCTTCCCGGGAGTACCCTTCTCCATGAGAGAAACGCACCACTAATATCACACTGCCCTCCAATCAAGGAGCAGGAATAGAAAAAAAAAAAAAAAAGCATCAACAAGAGCATTCTAAATAATAGGAGAAAACCCTAAAAAAACCCTGCGTGTTGCAGAAGGAAAGAGGAAGTTCTAGAAAGGGGAGAAGAGAAGAGGAAGGAGTATTATGTTGTCAGCACAGCCGCTGTAGGGGGAGGACCAAAGGAAGCGAGCGGGTGGTCTCTCGCTGACCACTGCTGGGTAGTGGCTGAGCGTGAGCGAGGCCATCCCGTGTGGGGTCGGACCACAGAGGCTTTGTCCCCGGGTGATGGGCGTGGGACCAGCTGAGGCCGAAATCCCCGTCCCAGCCAACACTGCCTGGGCTTGGTGCTCCTTTCTCCAGGGGAGTCCCAGGAGAATGCAGTAGGATTCTCAGAGCCGCTGCACTGGGCAGGTGCCAGGGAGGTGGGCAGTGCTTTGCCCAGGACCGCCCCAGGGGACAGAGGCAAGTGAACAGCTACAAGAGGGAGGAAGGAGCTGCTCTCTTTGTTTCTTAGAATCCAAGATGGGGTGAATTCAGCCATCAGAAAAGAAGATGTGACGGACATAAAAGAGGAGAGGGGGAAATCTGAAGGAATGGTTTAGAAGAAAAAGCCAAGATACCTTCCGAGGATGGAAAGTGGAAGAGGGAAGGGCCGGAGAGGCCGAGGTGGAGGAAGCGGTGTGCAGGCTGATTGTTTTGGCCACATAAGGAAGTGGTTTGTGGACAATGTGGTCTGGAACAGGCTAGGAAACCCAGGCTAGGAGATGTGAGTGCTGCTGTTTATTTAATTCTTTTCACACACGCAGAGAGCACACAACCTAACCGTCTACAGTGAGGGCCATCCTGCCTCAGTGCGGGCTGCACAGAACCGAGTGTAGACGGCCGCCTTTACCTAGTGAGTGAGGGCTGCCCTGCCTCAGTGCAGGCTGCACAGAACCCAGTGTAGACGGGCCGCCTTTACCTAGTGAGTGAGGGCCGCCCTGCCTCAGTGC